GGGGGAGGAGGAGGAGGAGGAGGAGGAGGAGGAGGGGCAGGTGCAGCAGGAGCAGGAGGAGGTGCAGCAGGAGGAGGAGGAGGAGCAGGAGGTGGAGCAGCAGCAGCAGCAGCTGCTGCTGCTGCAGCAGCAGCAGCAATAGCTTGCTGCTGCATGCGTGCAATATTTGCTGCTTGCTGCTGCTGCTGCAGTATTTCTTTTTTTAGGTAAATTGTTTCTTCTTTTATTTCTTTTTCTTTTTCTTTTATTAAATTAATTAATTCCTGCTGCTGCTGCTGCTGCTGCTGCAGTTGCTGCTGCTGCTGCTGTCGTCTTTTCTCACGCTGCTCTTGTAACTCTTTTACATCTTTGCTGCTTACCTGCTGCTGCTGCTGCTGCTGCTGTTGCTGCTGCTGCTGCTGCTGCTGTTTTTCCTTGATCCTTTTTTCTTTCTCTTTTTTTTGCTGCTCTTTCTGCTGCAGTTGCTGCAGTTGCTGCTGCTGCTGCTGCTGCGCTTGCTGCAGTGTCTGCTGCAGCAGCTGCTGCGTTGTCTGCACTTGCTGCGCTAATGCTGCTATCCTTTCTTCCCTTTCTTTCTTTTTTTTTTCTTTTTCTTCTTTTTTTTCTTTTTTTTCTTCTTTTTTTTCTTTTTTTTCTTCTTTTTTTCCTTCTTTTTCTTCTTTTTTTCCTTTTTTTTCTTTTTTTTCTTCTTTTTTTTCTTCTTTTTCTTTTTTTATTTCTTCTAATCTTTTTAATGTTGCTGCTACATCATCTTTATTTATTTTTGGTGTCTTTGCTGCTGCTGCTGCTGCTGCTGCTGCTGCTGCTGCAGCAGCAGCAGCAGATGAATCACTGTCATTGTCTGTTGATTTATTACTGTCCTTCCTTTTCTTCTTCTTATCTGTCTCCTTTCCTGCTGCTGCTGCTGCTGCTGCTGCTTCTTTGCTGCTCTTTTTCTTTCCTTCCCCATCTCCCTCACCCTTCTTGCTGCTGCTGCTGCTGCTGCTGATTGAGTCATCACTGTCTTGGCGTTTCTTCTTCTTCTTTTCGCTCTTCTTTGCTGCTGCTGTTGCTGCTGCTGCTGCAGCAGCAGGTGTATCCTTTGTCTCCTCTACAGCAGCAGCACCTCCCTCTCCCTCAGCTGCCTATACACCACAGACAGCACAGAGCAGCAGCAGCAGCCCGCAGTCTACACAACCAGCAGCAGCAACAGCAGAAGCAGCAGCAACAGCAGCAGCAACAGCAGCAGCAACAGCAGCAGCAACAGCAGCAGCAACAGCAGCAGCAGCAGCAGCAGCGGTCGGACCAGCGGCGAGCTGCAGCCGTAGAGTGGTCATATACGGTGTATGCGTACACTGCAGCAGCAGCAGCAGCAGCAGCAGCAGCAGCAGCAGAAGCAGCAGAAGCAGCAGAAGCAGCAGAAGCTGCAGCAGGAATAATAGGCTACCAAAGATATAATTAATTAATTAATTAATTAATTAAGAAGAGAAGAATTAAATTAATAATATTTATATCTTATTTAGATCAATAGACACCAAAACAGCAGCAGCAGCAGCAGCAGCAGCAGCGGCAGCAGCAGCAGCAGCAGCAGGACGTCCTACATCCTTCGCTACTAATTTTTTGTTTTTTTTAATAAAAATAAATTAAAAATAATAATATAAATTAATAATTAATAAAAAAGAATAAATAAATAAATTTATTTTGCTGTTGCTGCTGCTGCTGCTGCTTCTGCTGCTGCTGCTGCTGGCATAGTTGCGGTGTATATACATACGCACATCACACAGGATTCAGCCTGCTGCTGCTGCTGCTGCTGTTGCTGCTGTTGCTGCTGCTGCTGCTGCAGCTGATCATAATATAGCATATATATTTATATAAGGGGGTAAATAATTCTCTTATATAAAGGAGAAAAAGAAATAAATAAATAAATAAATAAATAAATAATTTATTTATTTATTTATTTAATAAATAAATAAATAAATAAATAAATAAATAAAATGCAATTGTCTCCCTTTATTATTTCTTCTCTTCTTCTTTCTTCTTTTGCTGCTGTCTTTACTATGCCTGCTGCTTCTTCCCCTCCTAATAGCGAGCAGCTGCAGCAGCAAATACAGAATGCCTCTCAGGTACCCCTAAACCCTAAACCCTAAACCCTAAACCCTAGCTAAACCCTAAACCCTAGCAGCAAAGCAGCAGCACAGCGCGCTGCGCCACTCTCGCTCTACGCTCACCAACAGGGGGCCCCCTATATATCTCTGCAGAATACACTACTAAACCCTAAACCCTACAGCCTAGAAAACCCTAAACCCTAAACCCTAATCAGGGTTTACGGTTTAGGGTTGAGGGTTTTCTAGGGTTTAGGGTTTAGATGTTCTCTTCCTCGCTTCCCTTTCCCTCCCCTTGTCAATCTCCATATCTCTCCTCTCAGGTATAAATTTTTAGGGTTTACGATTTAAGGGTTTAGGGTTTAGGGTTTAGGGTTTAGGGTTTAGGGTTTAGGGTTTATATGTATGTCTATAGGTGGTGGATTTTTCTTATGTAGGAGGAAGGGAGACAGGAGAAGAGGCAGAAGTTCGTCTATCTGTTGGTTCATCATTAGTAGTAAGATTAACATGTGCAGGAGGGTATAGAGGAGTATTAGGGTTTGCTGCTGATGCTGCTGCTGCTGCTGCAGCAGGTGCAGCAGGTGGTGCAGCAGCAGGAGATGCAGCAACAGTAGCAGCAGCTATGGGGCCCCCATCCTCATCAGAAGAGGTACTCAAACTTGTAGAAGCGGGGCCCCATATCCCTGATGGTGTTAAAGTAACACTACCTGTACCATACAGAGGTAAGGGTTTAGGGTTTAGGGTTTAGGGTTTAGGGTTTAGGGTTTGTCTCTCTTCTTTTTATCTACACTTCCTGATGGTGCCAATCTATGCTTTATTCTCTCCCTGCATTATCCTTTCGACTTTATTTATTATCTAGGGTTTAATGTTTCTAGGGTTTAGGGTTTTACTACTTCTAGGGTTTAGGGTTTCTAGGATTTCTAGGGTTTAGGGTTTAGGGTTTAGGGTTTACGAATTTTTTTTTTTTTTTTTTTTTTTTTTTTTA